ATCCAACCAACCCAACCCAACCCAATCCAACTCGACCCGATACAACCTTACCCAACCCAATCCAACCCAACCTAAGCCAATCCAACCCAACCCAATACAACCCAACCCAACCCAACCTAAACCAACCCAATCCAACCCAATCCAACCCAATCCAACCCAACCTAACCCAACCCAATCCAGACTATTTTGGGGGATACCACCTGGCAAGTTTGAGCAACAATTATAGTTCTCTCCAGTTCAAGCAACATCATCTAAACGATGGATAGTTTGGACCCTGTACTCAGCCCTCTGGAACCAGCCCTAGGGCATGACCACGACTCTGGTTATCCATTGCTCACTAATATTAAGGGAACTGTTCAATATAATTGTATGAGTTGTCATTGACCATGTATGCTGGGAGAGTTGCAGCTCGTGACAAAATGTCAGTACCGATAAGATTTTTATACAAAAATTTGACGAGGGTCTAGCGAGCATAACTGCACTGCATGTGGGTATTGGTAACAAGCACTTGAATTGTGGCTAAGCTGTAGGTACAGATTTAACTTGATCATTACTGCGATGGAATCACCTTCCTTCTTGCATTATTAATTTTGAAAATGGGCTTTCCTTCTAGGCATGTCACATCCCCTATTGGTCAAAAAGTTTAACAGGCTCAGGCCTCCTCTCTGTGAGCCTGATATTAGGGCTGAGTCAATTTGAATAGTTCACTATTCGAATATTCGATCTTCATTTGACGGAATATTCAGTTGTACTGACGGACAGATTGTTAATGAACACACCATTTACAAATCAGTTGCAATAATGCACACAGTTGTACTTTACAATCACTATAATAGCTTCTAAGAGTATCTCCAGCCATGATTTTGCAAGATTTAAGAGATGAAGACTACGTCTTGCCCGATTGAAAATTTTATTTAATTTTTTTTTTAATTTTTAATGGATGATTTACTTTTTGAATTGTAAGATTTCTGTCATTTTTCATTTGTATCTGCTTGAAACAAGTCTCCAAAGTACAAATTTTCTCATTTAAAACAAAGAATATTCTCCCTTCCATTTCATGAATTTTGCATTCGAATATTCAAATTGGGAAAAAATTCTAATATTGGATAATCAGTCGAATATTTGGATATTCGGATATTTGGCACGGCCCTATGTGGTATCAGAGCAGTAATGTCTCTTAATTCTCTTAATTCAAAGTTTAGCCTCTCCATTGATAGTCTGCCAAAGTTTAGCCTCTCCATTGATAGTCTGCCAAAGTTTAGCCTCTCCATTGATGGCCTGTGTTATTGCATCTCCTGTATGTTTTTTTGCTCGGACCACAGGCCCGGGATTTGAAGGAAGAGGTGTATCTAGACGCCATCAACAGTCTGCTCGTTTGTGGCGAGTACCCACCCCTCTTCTCCAATGATGAATTAGACGGACTTCTTCAGGTGAGAAATTTTTAAACTATCGAGGAAATCATAAGGAGATCTTTTTTAGACACAGTGGGGCTAAATGGTTAAGTTGGGTGATAGGAAGACACCAGACATAGCTACAAGGACAAGACAGTGATATAATTGATTCTAGAAATCATATTTGTTGCCAATTACATCGCTAATGTTTGCCTGATTTATCATCTCATTACCTTAGCCCTTAAGCGTGTCTGTTTGAGAGCCTTTTTTCCAAGTGTGCAGATATGTAAATGAGTTGACCCTGTGACATAGGTCAGAAGGTCGGGAACGCCCAGGTGCATTTGCGACTCTTTGTGGGAGACATCAAGACTGTTTCAAATGAACAGAGAAGTTTTGCTTGGCAAAAGAAACAAATTATTTTCACTGCAGAAAAGAAAAAAAATCAAGTTACCAGCTAAAGTGTCATATATTGCTACATTGCCTGTGACTGGTTCCCAGCTTATTTGTGCTCAGATTGTATATATGCTGTTTTGGCGAGACAACTCCGTGAAATCAGGTCAAGGGCTATAGCTGTACGTCAACAAGACTTTCAGTAGATTTGAGTGATTTGGCCTCGTTTTGATTGTATTCATCATCATCGATTATAAGATGTATCCCCAACCACTTACCTGCCACCATCAACCTCAACCAGACACCAGCCCCCGGCAGACCTGAAATCTATTAATTCTTTCTGCATTTGAGCATTGAAGTTGGGACCATCACGAGACCAATCACCATCCCAGTCACAAGTAATGCGCGGTGAACAATGATGTGGGATTTCTTTTCGCTGCAGTTCATTTGGGGACAGCTCGTGACTTGAATTCAGACCGGAGGTCTTGCATCGTTTGATGGGAATCGTGTGATTGTCCCGACGGGTGTTGACTAACACACTTGCACTTGAGAGAAAGAAGCCTTGAATGCAGTCATCGCTTGACTAAGCTACCCTGACTGTTTTATTCTTTTCAACACCATCATTACAAGCTATGTTTACACTGCCAATTTGTTGGTGTCATAAAGCTCTGCACGATTTCGGCCAACTAGCGATAATAAAGTTAAAGTGACGACAAGCAATTCTGACAGACCCACAGTGAAACCGTTTGACAAGCTGTACTTTGGTGCCAATTTGTGCAGTGTCTAACAACGTGAGGGGAATTGATAATTCATAATATCCATCATCTGGCGATTCCCTTGGCCCATACATTATCAACAACTTCACTCAGACAGGGAAAAAACTTGTATCTGGGGTTTTTCATGCTGGCTTCATTTTTTTCACCTCCCTGATTTTGGAGGCTTTTTGGTTCAATAAGTCACATTTTGTGAGAAAAACGTAACACTGTACGCTGTTGATCCCCAGGTGGAAGTATTTTTCCACGTAGCTCAAACATTGTAGGCCTAAGAATGGTTTTTATCATCAGAGACAAAGCTTGAGACAGAGAACGTCCAGATTTGGAAAACCCTAGTCCTTTAAATTCGAAACACAAGTCATTACATACACTAATGTGTAGATAGTTCAGGTTGATTGGGGGAGTCATTGTGTGGTGTCCCTACTTGGCTGTGCACATTAAGGATGCGACTTTTAAGGTTTTTTTTTAACAAAATATGCCAACAAACCGCTTCTCGTCAACTGTTCGGAAGTCTGATAGTCTTAGTGTCTGCTTATGGAATGGCCTTGAGGCCTTTTCCATTTCCCAGTCAGATATTCAGTGGTTCAACAGGTGACTTCATACAACACTGGAGTCTCTGGTGAATGATCTTCTTCGCTGTCTGACGGTAAGCCTCATTGAAGAGACAGTAGATGAACACATTGAAACCGCTGTTGGCAGCCGTCAGCCACATGGTCAGGAACTCCAGCCAGTGGGGACTGGTCCAGTTGGCTAAACCCTCCACGGTCCGCATGAGATTGAAAGGCGTGTAGCAAGCAGCAAACGTCAGAGTGACCATCAGAAACGCCTTCAGGGCTTTGTTGTCTCGGACGTTGTTTCCCTCCGTCTGGTTGTTGCGGGCATTGCGCAGTTCGTGCTGACGGCTGATCCGAATGATGCGGGAATAAATGCAGGTCATGGCCAGCGTCGGAAGGAGATCAAAGACAACTAGAGCCACCATGTTGACGGCATCAGAGCTGCTTCCAAAGAAACACAACGCAGAGGCAGGGTAGTACTTGAAGCTTACCCCAGTGACATGGGCTACTATTAAACTTGATGTGGTGACGCTCAACAAAATGACTTCAAGAGTGATAACACGGCGTGCGGTGCACCAGACAGGAAACTCATAGGGCCTCGTTACGGCGATGTATCGGTCAACATTGAGACCAATCAGGGAGAATATTGTCATGCTGATAGCAATATTGACACAGTCGCTAGCCACTGCACACCCAATTGTACTGAATGGCCACCGGCCCAAGGCCGAAGCAACAGAGGAGAAAAGCGCCAACACACCGATGAGCAGGTCAGACGCGGCCAGCGTCATCATCAGAACTTTGGTGCTGTCGGCCAAGTTGGTCACACGACGCGTCACAGCGATGGAGAGGCTATTGCCAGCAATGATCAGTGTTGCAACAGTAACAATGAAACAGGTCCGCAGAGCAATGAGAAAAGGGGGCAGGCCAAAAGAATCAGTCTGTACGTCAGCCATCCTTGGACTCTTAATGTAAATATCACTAAGAAGACAAGACAGGAGTCAAACAAATTCAGTTCCTTGAAGTCTCCGTTCAACTCTTTTCTACTCAGTTGGAAATTGCACTGCAACTTGTGCAGATCTCTGATGGATTTCAATTTGACAGTGAGGGTTCGGCCCTCACTATTAAAAAAAAAGCCAGTTTGACTGTAACAACCCTAAAAGGAACATGATTTTTCTCAGCCACAACTCCAAAACGCTAACTAGTTGCTCTCATAGTCGGTCATGAATGGTTTTTAAAGATTTGTCACAGAATGCCTGCACTTGGCTTTGCCTCGACGAAGCATATTATGGTTGGTTGAGAAAATTGTGTGTAAATATATCATTTCCCCTTCCTCCTTCTGCTGTATCACCATGGAAACCCAACTATCTTTGTCATTTCAATTCAATTTCAGCAGTCAGTGTTTCCATCATGCCATCAGCCCCCTTGTTTGAAGGTACAAAGAGCTAGATGGACTGGAACAGCAACCTTGCTCAATTTTCTTATTCACCTCCCATCAAGCAGTAATTATACTTTGTGTGCTTCACCGGTGAATGTTCACGCACCATCGCCAATTTCATTGTCTATTCATAGATTCAGTGCCGTTATAATGGCCCATGCCGTTATCTAAGGAACTGATTGAATTTTAATGAAAGCCTGATTTACTTAACTTCTAAGTTTAACAAATCTGTATTTTTCCTGAAGTCACTGTTTATCAAGGTAGATTAAATTGGACTGGAGTTTACGCAGGCCTTGAATCACCTTTATTGTCTCGCTTGAACATTATTTCCTTCAGTCTGGTTGTTAGGGGCATTGCGCAGTACATGCTTGTGGCTGATCTGAATGATGCGGAAATAAATGCAAGTCATGGTCAGTGCCGGAATAATATTCAAGACAACAAGGACCACCACGTTAACGGCATCAAAAGTGCTACCAAAGCCACACAGGGCAGAAGCTCCGACTCAGTAACATGTGCAGCCACTGTAATAGAAACAGCAATGATTGACAGAATAAGTGTAAGAGTTGTAGCTTGGCGTTTGGTGCACCAGACAGGAAACTTGTAAGGCCTTGTTACGGCGATAAATCATTCAACATTAAGACAAAGGAGTGAAAAAGTCTCCATGCTGACGACAACAGTCAGTAGCCAGTACGCACCCGATCGTCCCAAGTGTCCATCTCAGTTGTCCCATTTGCAGATTGTGCCGCAAATTTCTCCAGAAGAAAAAAAAAGAAAAAGGCTTGGTGAGTCTACAGTGATATTTTGTAACTGTACGTGAACTTGCCCTTAACTTCCTGTAGGCTTTGGATGGCTGACTTGAATCAAGGATGATGAGTGGAGTACCTGTTTCCAGGCATCCAGGTTTTAACTGATTGTGCAGTGCCCTCCATCAGCTATGCACAACACGGATAGAAGGCAGGCCCATGTTGACATGTTTCTCTTTTGCAGCTCCAGATATATATTGGTTCAAATTCAAAACCCCTTGTTATGTGACTAAGTTTCAACCCCTTCACGACTGGATTATTTTGACCGCGATTGCTGGGCTGTGGTATGCCCTGAATGGAGGGCTTTGTCCAGCAGCAGGCCCCATTGAACCAGCAGCTGCATGGTGAATAGACTGTATGTGTGGTATGCACTAATCCTCACACAATGGTGCGGTAGTAGCAGTCCTCCGTAGCGAAGGGGTTAACGTTGCCGTAGCGAAGGGGTTAACGTT